GAATGGTTGTTCATCTCGTTTGTCTCTATGTGTGGCCCTGCGATAGACTTGCGACCTGTCCAGGGTGTACCCTGCCCCTCATACTGTGACTGCTGGATATGGGCACCAGTGACCCACGCGACCCTGAAAAGGAAGAAGCGTGTACAGAAAATGGATGGATGGATGGATGGATGTTACTCTAAGTACCATACATACCCTTAAATGTCCTTTAGCCTACCTTGCAAGTACCATGTTGCTACTGAATATCCAATTATCTTCAATAATAATTTTTACAGATGCTTTACAACAAACTAAGGCCATTAAATCTAAAAGTTTTATTCTATTCTCATCTTTCTGACTGCAGTTAAACATAAATTTTTTTAAAAAAATGTTCAATGCAAACATAGTTATTTATCAAACTGTTACCATCTTGTAGAAGACTTACGAAGGTGTGCCCGTTKTATAGAAACACTGCTTGTTTGGTTAACAATGTGTAAAGTGTAATCAAAGGGAGCAGGCAGGGATTGTAGACAAAGCTGTGAAGCATATGGTAAAACAGCATGGCCTTTTTCAGCGCCGCAGCTTGTGACAGCCAATAAAACTTATTGTGCTGTGAGTYCATAGACAGGAGCAGTTTGCACCGTCTTGGTTGTGAGTGTCAAACGTGACTCTCAGCTGTTTTATTACAGTAATAACCAGGTGAATTTTCTCTGTTTTGAACAGTGGAAGGATCATTAAATTACCCACAGAGAGAAAACGGCTCAAAAGGAGGACTCGATTGTGTTTTCTTGTTAGCTAACTGCTAAATGGACCAAACGCACAAAAGCCAACAAAGCAACACARTTACACTGAACCTAAACAGCARACGGTAGTTTATATTGTATGTGATRYCTCTTATGAAAACTTAAATCATTGGGATTATTGTCACAAAGTATAGAAGTGTAGCCACAGTGTGTCCATTTGTGTGTTTGTTTGTCCATCTGTTAGCAAAACGTCTCAGGGAGAAATGATTGAATTTCATTAGACATACTTTTTTGGACAATCGATAATAGAAAGACAAGTTATTAGAAGTAATGTATAATTACGGAAAGGGGAACCATTTTTTTGAGGATTTCTGGTGCAGCTGCAAAGAGCAGATAAGTAGAAATTAAAAAAAAAGAAAAACACAAACAAAAAACTGCTGTCCCTCCTACTTGGGCACATTTTCTTTAGACAATGCAGCACAAAAGTGCAATATTTCTGAGACATTTTCTTCAGTTCTTGCAAAACCATTAGCAGACTTTGAATCAGCACCTCATGAGTCATTAACTGCACTGTGCATTTACAGACCTGTGGTTTGCTCTTATGTCAGGAAAAGAATGTATTTGTATCACTCAGAGTG